AAAATAAACATAGCACTGAACCCTCCAAACTTATGGAGACTCTCCCAGCCTTCGGTTGACCTAGTCAAACATGCAATACTGCCTTCCTCCCACCTTTCCCCCAGATGCAATCCCATAATCTGCAACTTGCACAATCATTCCTTTAGTTAAGTCTGGTTTGTCCTAAAAGTCAAATAGAAAAGTCAAAGTAGGGATGCATACAATATACTCCGTCAAAACATAACAAGGAGCGCAGTTAAGGGTGATAACAGGGTTTTTAGAAGGAGAGCAATGGTTACCTTTCAATTCCCTGCCTCCAGAACTCCTCCTGAGTTCCGGGAGAGCTCCTGCAATCGGTGGGCTGACTCCCCACAGAGTCTTGTTGCGGTCCTACGGGTTGCAATCCCGCCTGCCGCCTCCCTCTCAGAACCACAGACTAGACTTAGAGTAAGAAGGATAGAAAAAAGGGTTTAAGACTCTCGAAATACAGGAGAGGGACAACTCAACTCTTAGGAGAGGGCCTTGCAACCTTCATTCGCCTGAGGGCCCCGCAATGACGGCCAGAATGCGCAGTAAGAACAGCCGAACCGCAGTCAAACTGTCCGTTGTTGACTCGTCGATGACTCTCCCATCTTGCAGCAAGGACCCTTGTCCTTCAACAGCTCAGCCATTCCGCCACTTCGTGACCAAAAAATGCACAGACCACAGCTTAAGACAAGACTGTGATCAAAAGAAAGAAAGCACAACCTTCTTTCCAACGCCCCACAGTGTGATAGCAACGCAGTCCGACTGGCCACGCAGTGTGCAAAGCATACACAGATATTGGTTGTGTCGCTCTTACCGAACTTCGATAAGTATCCAACCCTCGGTTGGACTCATGCCACTTTGGCCCGATAGGATGAGCAACTCACCAACTAACAAGTAACCCGACACTTCCCAGCCAGCCTGCAACTGCTTTGACCTGCACAACAAGTCGTGCGTTGGCCAGCAAATAAGCCTACAGTCATACGGTTGGGCTTCCACGCGACAGGCCAGACTGCATATAAATCAGCAAGCCTTTCGACCTCGCAGCTAACTTCACGCCCTTTCCGGCTGTTGCTCTACTCCATGTACTGAAAACGAAAACGAACCTCCTCCTCGTATACGGCTAGGTACATTGTCCGTTTCCCCATGCGCAACTTGCAACCTTATAGCCTCCGATTCGTTTCACAAAATCTTAGTTCGAGTTTACCGTCCCACTCGCCGCATCCTAACATCCCTATTCAGCACGTTACTTCGTCCGTTTCTGATAAGAAACAATGGCATCGAATTTCCTCCCCTGCCATCTTAAGCTTTCAATCCAGATGGAACCCCCTCCTCGACTATGGGGGTATGCACCGTCCTTCTGAAAACGTACAGGATCGGGCGCTATGCACAACACAAGCATCTCAGCCCGCCCGTTCCCATGTGAGTACTCCCTCTCTCTCTCCCTCTCTCTCTCCCTCTCTCTCTCTCCGACTTACCTCTCTACCCTTGTAATCCTTCTCGACTGAATGCACCTGGCCAGGAACCCGCCCGGGTGCATCCCCCTCTTCCTTTCGCACAACTTATACAAGTTGTATAACCGATCCACTCACCTTTTGTCCGTTCTGGACCTACCACCGGATGCGTACTGCCTGGAAACCCCCATATTCGTCCTTCTCTCGCTTAATTCTGTGAAGGATCGACTAAACAGGCTATCAGTAGCTGCGCCCGACTAGTCTTCCGCCATGGCTTGGCGCATCTCCCATCTTATCTAGCGCACTTCCTAGTAACCTAGTGCCAAAACTAACTTCGCCATTGCACTCGCCCTACCACAAAACTCCCGCAACATGTCTCTCCTTGGCCTATTTCACGATGAATCGGTTGATCTTCGAGTTTACCTGCTCCCTCCATAGCTATCTCCGAGAACCTTCGCGCAACGACTTTCCCCTCCTAACTCTACATCTACTAACCTTCTTTCGAAACTGACTACGGATTTGAAGTCGCAGACCCCGAAAACACTCACTTAGTTCGTTTCCCCGCTATTAGGAGACGCCCCTTCGTTCACTCTTCTAGCATTGTCACCTTTGTCGTTCACCATCTCTTTTCTCGCACGTTTCTTCTCCTACTAACTCATATTCTGCTAACTTACTAAAACCCCAGAATTGACTCTTTTCCTTCTCAAAACCGATCCCTAACGACCGCGCTCCGTGTTTTGCCCACTCCGCCCCGCCTGTGTTTTTTTTTTCTCCGCCATCTCCGCACGCACCCGGCGCGATTTTCAGGTCAGATTCGCTCCCACTTTGCCTGCTTGCTGCCTCCGCTTTCCTCCCTTCTCGCTCAGCATTAGCACCCGCCGTGTCCTGGTCTCCGGCCGTCGCCTCTCGCTTCCCTCACTTAGCCCGCTAGCGCCTCAGTGTGGCAGTCCCTGCAGCTGCTCCAGCCGGCCTGATGGAGATTTCAAGGAGGATCCGCCTTTAGGCAGTTCGATTAGCCTTTGGTCCCTATATTCTATCTGCATTCCTGGCCTTAACGCACAGTCCTATGGCCTTGCTTCAACGCCAACTCAACAACTCTAGCTATACCGAAATTCCAGCCACGACCTGCACACCAATATAGCAGGATGCCCTCACCAGCGTTTCCCCTGGCGACCCGCTTTTGTTTGCTGGCCTTCGGGCCCTAAGGAGGCAAGCCCTCATGCAGATAGTCAGTCGTAGGGTCAGGGGCACGGCCAGTGGCAAGCCTAAAGCGTGGGCCTAGACGAGACAGCCCCGATGCAGATCTTGGGGTAAATAGCAAGATACTTAAGTAAGAACTTTAAAGACCGAAGTGGAGGGGAGTCCCGTGGGCATACTCACACCCACTAGCTCGTATGCACGTCTGAGCTCCTCGGTCCATATCTCGAGACAGGCAGGATAGAGGGCTTTCGCCGGCATCCCGAGCATGCCTCACCCCCCCACCCACGGCCCCACTATTTCTTCATTCATACGTTAACCTCTCCGGTCCTCCTTTTAAGTCAGGTGGCCCCGAGGAATTTCATCAGCGGCCTCATCCAAAATACCTAAACTTTTAATCGTCAGAGTATGACAAATGAGGGAAAAGCACCCGCCAGCACCGCTCTGACACCTCCGTCGCTGACAAAACCAAAGGGGGATAGCCTCGTCGGACCCTCGACCCCTCGGTCCCCTTGCGCCACTCTAATCCCTGCGTCGTCGGTGCTTAGTCTCAATCCCTGAATCTTCCCAACGAAAATCTGACGCCGTAACCGCTAGTGCTAGGCCCACGTCTTGGTCTAGCTCTGACGAGCACCTAGAATAAACCAATATTGCACGACGCGCAGAGCTACTAAAAATGTTTCAAAGCCCCCTTGTTATCAATGTCGTCCTCCGCGCATACACACAAATCACAGACAAGCGCATCAATGATCAATACATAATCTTTTTTATCCTAACTTAATCAGAAAAATAAAAATAAAGCCGACGATCACGCCCGTTCTTCAATTATCAACAAAATAAAAAGATCACGCTCGCTTCAAATCTGCGCGCCCACACACGCTCTACTCTGGTCAACCAATCAGCCAACATAAACCTCAGACACAGCCGCACCTTGCACGGTATTCCCTAAATCTTAAATCAAACTTATTTTTTGTCGCTTGCAAAACCCAGGGCGGATACCCCTGTAAGGGTATTCGCACCGACAGCTTACCGGACCATATTAAGCGACGTCCCCGTCGTTTCACCAAATCAGAAAGCTATAAATACATCCAAACTTCAAATGCTGATGAGAAACGAACCAATCCGATTAGCCGACAGACTCAGGTTCGAGGCCTCCATCAATCCATTCTAAACACAACTTTATGCTGCCAGGATTCCAACCTGGGCCTCCATCGTCCTGACAGTAGGACAGTGGGATACTCATCACTATACTACAGCATAAGTAAAATACAAAGCATACAAGATGTTCCTCATACATCCTTAACACAAAACCATCATACATCAGGCTAAAACCACACATGTGAGAGTGATTGTGGTCGTCATATACAAAGAGTAGTCTCAAATAGTACTCAACTCAAAGACACACTAAGGGATAAGATATCTCATCCAAAAAACATACACAATACTCTTGTTCCACGAATTACTCAAAATAACCCAAGTCACACTCAATATGGTACATGGTCAATCATACAAGAAAATTACTGAAACAAGTCCATAATCCCTCTGAATCTCAGTATACACATGCTATCTCACATGATCCTAATCTCGATGGACAACCTACGTTGTAATCCCCCATATGTATACTCAACGGTGTAGGTATCCAAACCTCCTAACAATGCTAAAACGAAAAGTCAAATAAAAACATGTGTCCAACCTACAAAACTAGTCCATCTCAGCCTCACTAGAACATACCCTAACGGTTGCTCGCACATAGGCGAACCAGTCCCTACTCACTCATCTCCTCCTGGTTCTGCCAGTACATCTGAGCCCTACCCCCATCGGCAGATCGCTCTATTACTCTACCCTTTCTATCATACATCCTTCCACCGCTCTCTGTAACCTTCCCTGCAGCCAGGTCCTTTAGAAACTTAGGACACTGCAGAGTCATGTGCTCCTTGCTCTTGCAAAAGAAGTAGGATGAGTCGCCTGACCTCTTACCTTTTTTCTTTTTATTTTTTGGATCTTGGTAACGATGGTGTCTCGCTAGCCTCCCTGGCCACCTCATGACATTGGGCCACATCCAAAGGCTCCTCTGGTCCCGTCTCCAACTCCTGAGTACTAGGCTCTAGTCGCATTCCAATTCCCTCGGGTTTGTACTCAGGTGTATCTAACCTCCGAGGCCTGCCCTCGATGACGCCTTGTATCATAATCCCTGTCTCCCTTTCAGGAGGCTCTTCCATCCTCTGCTCAGGTGAAAATAGACTCGCCTCTTCTTGCATAGAGTGAACTGCCTCGAGAAGCACATCCATAGATCCCTCTGCTGAGCCCTGAACCAGCTCGCTGCTGGCCATTTGCCGCCCCTCCTCAACTGATAATGGCATAGTCGCTATCATGGGTTCCACAACTGCTATGGGCAGTGCGGCGAGTTCAGTAGGGGCTCTGAACTCAAAGGCCTCTCTATCTCTGCCTCCCTCTTGGCCTTTGCCTCCTCAGGCTCCAGGATGACTCTTCCCATGGGTGGTTCCTGGGGGAGTCCAACTGTGGATGGCGGCCCTGATGAACCATGCATTGGCTCAGTCCGATCGCCACGTCGGCTACTCCCTGCCCCGTCCATCACCTCGGCAGACTCTTCTCTGTTAGTCCTGTCAGCCCCTTCTCGAGGCTGCCGCCTCAAATCCTGGATGATGGCATCTTGACTAGCCACCAATGCCCTGAGTTCTCGGACCTYAGCCTCAACTGCCTCCAAACGTACTCCATGGCTTACTTCCTTCATCTTCTTCCCGGTCAGATCGGCTTCCAACATTAGATACCTATCAAAGGATGTCTTGGCCAGGAAACAGATCTTTCGGTCCAAGTACTCATTCGCCATCCTCGAGGTCCCGACTCCTGCCCTCTCTGGAGTCGTCAATCCCTCGCCATGCTGGTCAAGGAACTCATCCCACATCTCCTTGATTCCACATGGCTTAGGCGGTGGTGTTTGATCTGGGAGTGCCACTGCCTCCTCTAACCTCTGTCTTTCCTGGCAGATTTCCTCCAAGCGCTTCCCAACTCTGGCCCGTTTCTCTTCGGCTGTCTCCCTTGCTGATACTCTCTCCCTCGTACGATGGTCCGCTCTCCCCGGAACCTCAGCTCCCATCTGTCTCTCTGCCTGGTGTGGCTCCATAGGTACAGGCTCCTCCAGGTCAGGGTGCTCTAGGGCGTGTGCAGCCAGGTGTCTGTCAATCATAGCAAGGGCCTCTCTCCTCCGGTCAGCTTTCTCTCTCCATCTATACCCTCACTCTTGGCGAAGGGACCGTTTTTGGAGGTGGTAATGGGGTCTCCTCCTGCCGTGATTCCTCCTCTCTGTCGCGTGCGCCTTCTTACACACTTCCCAATCTTAATCCCACCACCGGCGTCTAAGGAGGAGTATCCTCCCCAACCTATATTACCTCCCCTATAGCATGTCCCCTCTCAGTACTTGGCCTCATCTCTCGCTCAGGGTCCTGGGTCTCCTCTCGTGGTACTTCCTCTGCCGGCTCGTCACGCCTCTCACTCATCGGTGGCATTCTCCATTGTGAGACATCCAAATGTGCCTCCAACTCCTGCAGTGGCTCTCCAGATGGAGGCACCTCCTCTCGTGCGTGCTGGGGAGATCCTCCCAATCCTCCTTCGGTGAAGCGATGAAATACCACTGGCCCCAACCCGCACTCAGGATATGCTTCGCGCCCCTCAGTCTCAGGCACCAACTCCTCCTCTCGTCTTGCGAGTGCCTTCCGTCCCCCTCGGGATGGCATGGCCTCTCTGGGCTCAAGGTCCCTCTGCCTCTTGCTTCTCTGGCGTTTCTCAACTCTAGGCTGAGGTGGCTCTAGCCGTCGAAATGCCTCCCTCAAATGTGCCCTGCAACTCTCCCAGTCTCGAACCATGTCTCTGACCTGCCTGGCCAAGGGTCTCTCTGCCTTTCTGGTCCATAGGGGTAAGGTCCTCGCCCACTCATCCCTCAATATGCCCTGGTCGTGCATGAACTGCTCAAAGGCGGGAATAAAGTCCTCCACATTCCTGATCTCCAGGCGGATCGGTCTGCCATCAGGCCCCACAGGCGATGGTCGTAATTCCTGCATCCTTATCTCCACCTCTGGCCAGGTCCCCGCCTCCCTACGAATCCGCGCGATGGACTCAACAAACCTACCAGCTCCCCTCAGCCTCTCGATCGTCTGAGTTATCGTCCAACCCATATGCTCCCCATACCCCCGAAAATCATCCAAAAACAGCTCTATATCCCCGTCATCGTATACGGGTGTGCCCTCCCGATGGTGAGACCCATGCTCCTCATACCCTCCTGATGCTCCCAATGGCCTCCGTGGCCACCGTGTTCCCCTCCCTCCCCTTGGCATGGTTGTCTTCGCAAAGTCAGACCTGCACAACAGGCGAAGAAGACGACAGACACACATTGGGGTAAGCAAACAGGTGGCAATAAAACAAACTCAAGTCAGACCAAACACATACATCATGCAATCCTATCCAATCTACACATCCTATCTCGATTAAGGTCCTAACCATCTCTTGTCAAGTTTTCTGGACCACTGCTTCTCTAAGGACGAATCATATAGGAGTACGATGTCTCCAACTGCCAAAGGTACCTTTCGTACTCGCGCCAACTAGTCCCAACGAGCCTTATCCTCCATACGATTCCTCTCTACTTGGTTGGACGCCTCCTGAATTCTTTCCTCTATCGCACCTACCTGCCACGCTCGAATATCGAGCAATTCCTCAAAAAGACAGGTTGACCTCCAAGTCCTGACGCCTCCAAGTCTTTAGGAAACTCTTAATTCGGAAGGTAGCGTGTCTCCCGTACCATAGTGTGGCTGGTGCGTACTTAGTGTTTTTTTTTACCGTAATATTCTCAACAAAGAATGCCGCCCTCAGGTATCTTAGCCACAGATTAGGCCTACCTTAAGTCCACTTAGCTAGAAGGTTCGTAATAGTGTTATGTCCTCTCTCAACTGGAGCGTTTGCCTGTGGGTGTGCGGCCGTGGTGTAATTGGCTACCACACCGTACCTGGACAACAATTCTTGCACCTCCTGACAGGTAAACTCTGACCCTCTATCCATTACGAATTCTCTGACAAAGGGATAACGCAGGTAGTACTCCTCCATGCAGCTTACCAAAACTAATCCGGTCTTTGTACGTATGATCCTTTCATCTACAAAGCGGGAAAGGTTATCGCGCGCATCGAAGATATAATTGTAGTCATGATCCCCAAGTGGCATGAAGAGTAAGTCGTGATGTACTACGGCCCCCACTTCCCTTTCTAGCCTTGGATGCAGTGACTCTCCTGGCCTTAGAGGAGACCGTTCTTGACAAGGTATGCAGAAACGACAAAACTTGCTAACCATTTCCATCATTCCATCCCAGTAATACAGCTCGCTTGTCTTAGCATACGTAGCGCTAACTCCTCGGTGCCCTCCCGCAATGCCATCATGAAGCGCAACTATAATATCAATCTGACGGTTTTTGCCACATACAACCCTCTTGGGATTTCTCACTTGCCTTTTTACAAAAAGATGACCATCTCCTACCAAATAGAGATGCCTCATCTTTTGGGTCCTTTCACTTGCATCCCTATCACGTATTTCAAACGATAGGAGAAGTCCCAACTTCAGGTAGATTTCTTCATACTCCTCTGCACGGAATGCCTCTCTAATCTCTCCCTCCTCAAACTTGTCATCCTGGCTCTCTGGCACCACCTCTTCACTCCAGTCAGATTCAGCAAGCCTATCCGGTCAAAGTTTTCCTGCAGAAGTGTATTGACGAGGAGATACATCCCTCCCATCAATTCCTCGTGCTTCTCTATTTGGTCTGGTCCTTCCTCTATCGTTTTCATCTCCTCCACCAGACTATGCGAGCCTGCCAATGCCAACTTCATCATCCACTGGACATCTTTGTCGCCCCATGGGTCTTCTTCTTCGAAAGGTTTGAGCACGAAGTCTGTATTCTGCTCATACCCTTTTGGCGCATGCCAGATGGGATGGCCAACGCAGTTAGGTACTCGCGGGGACCACTTATTAATATGAAGGCGGATGTCCTCTTCCTGATCTAGGAAGCTATCAACTGGGGGCGTGTCCTCTACTGCCTCCCGCTCTTGCTTATCCCAGTTGATACGGCTCAGCCTGTCCGCCCTATTCTTATTCTCAGGAATCCGTTCCAGCTCAAAGTTAAACATCCAAATGTACGTTAGCCAGCTGGCAACTGTTGGATCTGACGTAACATAATTCCTCAAGGAATAGGCCAGAGCAGTCGGGTCCACTCTCAATATAAATCTCCTGCCAAAAATATAATTCCGAAAAATTTGCAAGCAGTGAAGTACAACGAGAATTTCCCTCTTGAACTGAGAGTAATTTCTCTCAGTCGTACAAAGCGTTCGACTCTCGAATCGCAGCAGTCTCTCCTTCCCTTCCGTATCTGCCTGAATCAAAACTCCACCCAAGGCAGTCGGTCCAGCGTCTGTCTCGACAATAAATGGCCTTACTTCCGTGGCATCATAGTCCGACGCTCCCAATACCAGTCCTCCTTCTGGGAACTCCTCCTTCATTCCTGTCACCGCTCTTTCCTACTCTTCGCCCCAGATCCATTCCTGATCCTGACGAACCAACTTTCTCAAGTGCTCAGTCTTGACGGCGAAATTCTTGACGAAGGTCCTTCAAAATTCACACGTGTCGTGAAAGCTTCAAACATTAGTTATTGAGTGGAATGGTACTCGTCACTCAATAATCTTGTTTGTCTTCTTTACATCCGTCCGACGGCCTTTCTCACTATAGACGAACCCCAAGATGGTAGCTTCCCTCATGCAGTATCTGGATTTGGTCCCACTTGCAGTGAGGTTATGCTCTTCAAGCAGATTCATTACTTTATCAAGGTCCTGAATATGTCTCCAGACAAAAAGTCTCATTCTCTGTAAGACTTCGCCATTCTCTTTCACCGTTGGTCCCTTTACTGCCAAGTCATCGATATATGCTGAGTAATGTGTGGTTTGACTGACTGCATAGCCCGAATTATAGCTCGTTGAACCATTGCTACTGCGTTCGTCCATCCTTGTGGAGCCACATTCATATGGATCAGCCCTCGAGGTGTATGCATTGTCGTTACTGGCCTGTCTGGTGGATAGACCGGAAACTGTTCGTATCCAGAGTAAAGGTATATAAGTGAAATTATCGGCCTTCTAGCACAGGATTCTGACAGCGCATCCGCATTTGGCAATCCTCCCGCATCTTGCACAGTCACCGCATTCAGTCGCTGCAAATCTTGCACCCATCGCAGCGTTCCATTAGGTTTAATGAAACAAAACCATAGAGATCCGTACTGCCCACTTCAGTAATCAGCGACATGCGTACGTATCTTGGCGTTGAGGTAACCTATCACCTTCCTTTCCTCGTCAAGATTAGGGTATCGCGCCCCTCTCAAGTTTCATGGCTCATGCGGCACGGTATGTATGCGGATCATAGGAATCTTGTCTACATCCAACGTGCCGCGCTCCTCATCGCTAAACGCATAGGCGCGATGCCTTCTCTTCATTAGTTCTATCATTAATGCTCTTTCCTTGGGCAGTAGGAAGTCAGGCTCTCCTATTATCAACTTCCCTTCGTTCCCTTCGTTGATGCGGCATGACCCTGCTGAGGTGTTCTCCTTCATCTACCGTTCAGACCTCGTTCCCGCTCGTAGTATACCTCCTCATCTTCGGTAACGAGGACGGGAACTGGGCGACACTTTTTATCTATCGTCTTGTACCGCCTTTGGGAACCCTGCTTGAGCCGTCCTCTAAAAAAGGCCGGTTTACAGCTTGCGCTTGCATTAATGCAAGGTTCCTCCACCTGGAAGCCGATATACCAACTCCATCTCCCCAGCCTGGGGACATTCCAGGACGTGTTCCCTCAATGCCTGAATGCCGTCTGGATCCGCCATCTCGTGCGTGGCCACTATATTCATGACCTTGTTCACGTCTGATAGGATGAGGGAAAACGCCTCGCCCCTTTCTTCCTCCTCTGGTTCTATAAGGAGCGTCCGGCGCGTGTCCTCTGATTCCTCGATCGTAAACGAGCCAGGATTGGGCCGGTTCCTTATACTCCGCGACCCTGTATTCCTGCAGGTGATTACGTCGAAGTTTCCGCAGGCAGGATCACACATGATTAGGATCAGAGTTTCGTCGTGCTTATTAAACATCAACGTCTCTGTCCTGCACAAGAAGGACCTTCCCAGTAGGATTCCATGGTCCACGTCTGGTATAACGAAGAAGCAAGCTCTGGCCTTTACTCTTCCAACCTCGATAAGTATATTCGAGGTTGTCCCGCAAAACACTGCCTTACAGTTAGCTCCATGTAGGATGCCGCAATCAGAGCGGTCTATTTCTAATCCAAATCTGAGTGTGTCAGGCACTGTCAGCCTCGCGGATAATATTCATCTCCGCTCCCGTATCCACCATCGCTGCGCACTTGGAGCCTTTTACCACCAAATTCACCATGCCACAGGCCACACACTTCCAGTTCATCTTTGTCCCCGTTTCCGCCCATTCCGCCTCCTTTGGCAGAATCATGCTCAGATGGACACTTGGCACCAAGCGCTGCGATAATCTCCCCTTCAGTCCATCACGGAGCTTAGGGGCTGGCGCCAAAATCTCCTGCAGGGTCATAAGATCGTTATGACCCTGCAATAATTTATCAATCACCCTTTCTACGCCGAACCCTTCCTCCAGTCGGACCTCGTATTTCTTTTTCTTCGACTGCACATCGCGCAGAATCGGTTCGGCTTCCTCCCGGGCTTCTCTCTTCCTAGCCCTTTGCTCCGCCCTCTGGTCTTCTTCCTGGCGCAGCCTTTCATCCTCTTCTTCCTCCTCGTCATCATCCTCTACCTCTACGACCTCCTTTCTCTTCTCTGGCTCCGACTCTTTTCGTGGAGGTTCCTAGCTTGCACTGGCCTTAGCCTGGCCTCGGGTACGAGCAACTTGTGCCAGTCTTCCTTGCGACGTAGGGGGTCTAGTCATCATTCCAAACCGCGGGTCTGATCCCACGGAGGTCGCCCTGGCATCGACTTTGGGCCGGATTTGTGGAGAAACACCTTGGGGATGCCAGCCCTCCACCCGTTCACTTCTTCACAAAGCTCCACCAACTTCTGTTGGTACCTCCCCATCTTTCCCAACAAGAGTTCCATCTTTCCTAGCGGGATTGATGCGGACTCTACTTTCTCTTCCTCACTTTCCTCCTCTGACTCAACGACTATGGGCTCTTCCTTTATATCTCCTGCCCGTAGCCTCTGAGTCACCTCCTCATCACTTTCCACTTCGTCCACCCTAATTGGTGGATCCTCCTTTTCCTGCCATAATCTGAACATGGCAGGCGGCGCTTGCCGCGCAGCTATCCTTCTTTGGGCTTCCGCCCTTGCTCCACCCGGAGCTTTCCTGTCAATGTATTCCCCAAACTGATCGTATATATCGTCGTCTATATTGGAATAGATCAGTCTCACTCTTTCATCTTCCCGCATAATATTGCAGAACCGTATAGTATGACCTTGTTTATCACAGTGCTGGAATATGGTGGTTCTTCAAGACGGGTTCTCCCGCTTCCCTGACTCCCTTGGTTTCCTTGATTGCTTTGGCCTTGGTAGCCTTGGTAATCCCATTGACCTCCTCGGCCACCGCCATTTCTGCTATGTCCTCTTCCACCGCCTCTCCCTCCATTCCCCTGAGTACCCTGACCTTGATTACCTCCACCAGCCACACTACCTTGTGAACTAGGTGCGGGCGACGGAGGCGGAGCCATGGGTTGGGTCTGAGCGGCGGGATAACTTGGAGGTGGCAAACTTGCTTGGGGCCTAGCGTATGCTACCATTTGCCTAGGCGAAGCCGGACTTCCCCACGGTACAAAGGTGTTGTACACAGGTCATGGCCACTGCCCGAATGGTGGTACTGCCACTTGTGAGGGTCCCGCGCTACTTGATGGATTCGATGCGCTTGGCGGAGCGACTATCACTGCTTGGGGCGCCTGCCCCCTTCCTGAGCCTTGCCCCCTCGGGGTTAAATTGCGCTGCTTGCGTAGCGCCTTCGAAAAGTGTTGAGGCACCGGCTTTTCGTCTTCCTACTCCTCTTGGACGACTTCCTCTATCACTTGATCTTTTCCGTTTCCCTGGATCGCCGTCACTACTTTCTTCTGTATTACCGCATCTTTTCCACAGCCCAGTTATGCAAGTACGTCGGTGATGATCCTTCTTACTCCTGGGGTCCCAGACGCTATGGCATCCCTTTCCTTTCTCTTACGCCTTTGCAGGCGCATCTGATACTGCTCCACCTGGTCCAGACTTCCCTCTTCCGCACCTTTATCAATAGTGGCCCAGGTGAGTTTCGCGCTTCCTCCTCCATGGCTTGTCAGTTCTGCAGCCTCCGAGGCAGTGAGCAACCCCAAAAAGATAGCGCACTGCGAACCTTTCTCGCCTTTTTCTTAAACTTCTGCACAAACGCCCCCACCGTGTTGAAGTTGTCTTTGTTCATGGCCTCCAAATCTGCCGTAGTTAGCAGCCCATCGCCTAGCCTATACTTTCTCTTCATCCCGTCTTTGAACCTTGCCCAGCTACCATTGGCCGCATTTATAACTTTCTCCACCTCTTGGTGGTGGCCATGAAGTACATACTTCAGAATGCGCTGGAACTTCACCGCATCCGATAACCCTACCAAAGTTTGCTCCTCCAAGTCCAGCCAATCAAAAACTCGTTCCCCATTAAAATGGAAGGTATCAACCTTGGGGACATTACTTGGTGTCCTTTTCCGCTTATCCATGACCTCAATGAGGTCCTCGACCGTCAGGACCTTCCCCTCACCATCTGCTATAGCCCCCGACATCTTTGCGGGTTGTCCTTACTCGACTTTCCCTATTTTAAGAAGAACACACCACCTCATTCAGCAGTCTGATCTTATCACATTCCACATCGGACCCCTGCTATAGCTAACCCATGGTCCAAACCTAATAGGTCCTTTCCCATTTTCATTCCCATAGAACTCACCTTAATAAACCCCATTTTCCCTATAGGGTTTCCCTTATGATTTTCTAACCCAAGCAATCAATCAATTCAAAAGACAAACTTATTATTTTACTAAAGCTCGTTTATTACCATTAGCCTAGCAAGACGTTACATACTTCGTTTTTCCTTATATGCCTATTCTCTCTCAATCTTGTACCCGGATGTCGTTCCACCAGGGACAACGGTAGGCTTCCGATATCCCCGGCAACGGAGCCACCTGTCGAGCACATCGGTCCGACACTGCACAAGGCAACGCGGGACCCTCCTGGTCGTGTCATGCAGGAGTCGGTCTGATCCTCGTCGCAAATGCATATGAAGTTTCCACAAGCCGCTCCGACCGAGTGCGCCGGCCATACCTTTCGCGAGCCCCTACGACAGGATAGGGCCTACGCGAGGCACGACTTACCTCCACCGTACGGGAGCTGTGACCTCCTTTCGGTGGGCATATCCCCGAGGATGATGACAAGTCTGGGTCATCGATCATCCTCCTCTCCCAACCTTCAAAAGTATGGGCCATGGAGAGAGAGAGAGAGAGAGAGAGAGAGAGAGAGAGAGAGAGAGAGAAAAAAAAAAAAAAAAAGAGAGAGAGAAAAAAAAAAAAAAAAA